ATCGCTTATTTGTGGAATAAATCACTGCCCACTTTGTCCAAGGTGCTGTCATTGTGCTAAGAATGCAGCAGAGCCGACAGGCCTCAGGGACTTTGCAGTCCAGCAGGAGTGGGTGTGTGTGTAAAACTCAAGGTTTTTACGCAAGATACGATCTATAGCAGTGCTGATGGGGATAATAAGTTAAATTTGTGTTCTTTCCTATATTTAGTGCTGTCTTTAGTACTTAAAAATAATTTCCTGTGTGGGGTGCCTGGGTGGCTCAGTCAGTTAAGCGTGTGACTTCGGTTCAGGTCATGATCTCGCAGTTTGGGAGTTCGAGCCCCACATTGGGCTCGCTGCTGTCACCGAGGAGCCTGCTTCAGATCCTCTGTCCCTGTCTTTCTCTGCTCCTCCCCTGCTTGTGCGCTCGCTCGCTCTCTCTCTCAAAAATAAATTAAAAAAATAATAATAATTTTCTGTGGGCAAATCAAGGCCGACTTCACCGGCCGATTAGCATCAGCTCATTTACTGCCACTTGCTGGTACTGAGGCGGAGACGACAGATTCAACAGGAAGCCAATCCCAGCCAATGTGCTGAGTGGGGATTAGAATCCAGCCGGGGAGATGGGCGATGAGTAAGTTTTTACAGGGGAGTACTGTCAGCACGGTGCAAAATCACTAGGTCGGGAAACGACATGTATGGTGCAACAGCACAAATGAGTAAGAGTGAGGGGAGGGGCGGCGGGGGGAGGGCGTTCTGGGCAAAGGGGGCTGCAGGGGGGAAGGCCCTAATGAGGAGGAAGGTGGGCACATTCGATGAACCAGAGGAGGCAGCAAAGGAGGAGGGTAGCCCTCAGCAGGCTGGAGAGCTGGGCAGGGGCACATCCTCTAGGGTCCTGTAAACCTCACTGACGAGTCTGGGTTTTGTTCTACGGGAATCAGAAGCCCCTGCCCAGACTTGAGGTGGGGTTTCTATGGTCCCACAAGGAGGCATTGTGGCCGACAGGGGGGAAACGGGTAGGTGGGGGTCGGGAAGGGCACAGTGGATATTTAAGCAGATGAAGGGCAGAGGTGACATGGTCAGTGCTCTTTTTGGAAGCTTCAAGATCACAACCCTGTGTGCCTTGAGCAATGGGAGGCTGTGCCCTTTGCAAACCCCCCAGGAATTAGTCATTGTCAGGATCAGGCCTGTCTCCCCTATCTCTTGCTTTAAACTGCTGCCTCCTTACACCCAGGCCACCGTTCCGACATTCCTTTTCAGAGATTATCACCAACTTCAGTCCTTAAACTGAGCCCTGAACATCTCCCACCTGTCGCTTAGATAAGCCAGTTCAGAGCCCTCTGGGGTCACAGGGGTCATGTGACCCATTTGATAGACTCACAGACATCTGTGGCCAGAGAGGATGTGGTCTTTCCAGTGACTTTGTGAAGAGGGACGTGTGGGTCTTTCACAGACACACTGTAAGCAACCTAGATGCCATTGAATCTGCAGGCTGTCCCCTTGCCAAGGACAACAGTCGAGATGGGCCAATAAAACAATCATGGTAATGGTCAATCCATAACCCTCCACGCTTCCCAAGGGACGTTTCATTCACTTTAAACCTGACACAAAGGCATGAAAAATGAGGGCAGGACAAACTCTGAAAATACTGTAGTGTGGCTGGTTACAATCTGCTTTCTCCATTTTTTTTTTCTTGATTTCTTTTCTTCTGCTTATTTCTGTCTCCGTCCACACAAAAGGCCTTTCTCAACCATTTGGTTATCCTTAGCTCCATGCTCGTATTTAGCGGATGGCATTAAAGCGCCCAGTGGAAGTTCTGAGTGTGAGGCCAGAGTTTGTCAGCTGGTGGGACCTTAATTCCAGGAGGAGAACCCCACCCCGGCTCTGGTGGAATTGTGTAGTTTGTGAGACAAGGTCCTATCCTGTCTATCTCGTTAGCCACAAGATTCCTTGCCTCCAGAACATAGTAAGTGCTCAATAAATATTTGATGTTATTATTCAACCTCTCGGACCCTCAGTTTTCTCATCTGAAAATTGGGGATAAAAAATATTCCTCTGGCAGTTTCCGAGAAGAGAGAGTATATATAAACCCCTGGCACAGTGCTTAGAGTTTAGCCAATTAGTTACAAATAATAACAGGTGGCAATCATTGTCATCATTACTTCTAGGGACAACAGGGCAGCTGTTTCATGACCATCTGTGGTCACAGTGGCCAGGCTAAATATAGAGGCAAAGCATAGTACTTGTCGAGAGGCCATTTATTTATTTATTTATTTCAATATATGAAGTTTATTGTCAAATTGGTTTCCATACAACACCCAGTGCTCATCCCAAAAGGTGCCCTCCTCAATGCCCATCACCCACCCCCCCCTCCCCCTCCTCCACCCCCCATCAACCCTCAGTTTGTTCTGTTTTTAAGAGTCTCTTATGCTTTGGCTCTCTCCCACTCTAACTTCTTTTTTTTTTTTTTCCTTTCTCCCTCTCATGGGTTCCTGTTAAGTTTCTCAGGATCCATAAGAGTGAAACCATATATCTGTCTTTCTCTGTATGGATTTATTTTTAGCAGCATCACACTCTCCAGTTCCATCCACGTTGCTACAAAAGGCCATATTTCATTCTTTCTCATTGCCACATAGTACTCCATTGTGTATATAAACCACAATTTCTTTATCCATTCATCAGTTGATGGACATTTAGGCTCTTTCCATCATTTGGCTATTGTTGAGAGTGCTGCTATAAACATTGGGGTGCAAGTGCCCCTATGCATCAGTACTCCTGTATCCCTTCCAAATTCTAAGTGCTATTAGCATGAGGTCATAGGTCTGTTTTTAGTTTTTGAGGAACCTCCACACTGTTTTCCAGAGTGGCTGCACCAATTTGCATTCCCACCAACAGTGCAAGAGGGTTCCCGTTTCTCCACATCCTCTCCAGCATCTATAGTCTCCTGACTTGTTCATTTTGAGAGGCCATTTATTATAGTAAAAATCAACACAGCAAGGAGGAGCCTCGAGATGACAGCCTTTGACTTTCAGTGTGTAGAAAGTCCAAGGACACCAGCTTCCGTTGTGACTGAGGAGAAAGGTGGGTGGTGGCACTGCATCACCAAAGAGCTCTGTAGAATGGCCATTCCCGCGGAATGTTCTTCTGCTCTGCTCAGTCTATTAGGAGCAATTTAGCAGCAAAGGCACTGGAGGAGTTTGCTGAGACTCCCCCAGCCCCGGCTCTCTCCCATACAGCAGGCAGGTTGATGGATCGTCTCATTTGGAATGGTTTTTAAATAGATGTCTATAGTTAAAAAACAAAACAAAACATTCAAACAAAAAGATTTCGAACAGTACAAGAGGGTACTTGCAGAAAGATCAGAATTGACCTGAAGCTTTGAGGGTGTTAGGAATGTTAACCTTTCCAGGGATCCAGAAGGACCAAGGCCCTGTCAGTTTCAACATGTGACTTCCACATGGTGGCAGTTAAGGTCACCCTGGGTGTTGATATCCAGCAGGCAGATGGAGAGAGCGTGGAGGTAGGCAGGGTTGGTTTTAAATGAGCCAGGCCTAGAAGAGACAGGTGTCACTTCTGCCCACATTTCATTGGCCAGAATTAGACTCTCTGACCTAGACTCATACTAGAAAATGTCCCGGCTGGGCAGCTGCTTCCCACAACTGGACACTGTGGAAGAAAAGCACAAACCTTTGATGGGCAATTAGCTGTCATCTGCCGTAGATGAACTGGAGAATTATATCCTCATTTATTTAAGCTTCGGGAGTCTGACTTTCCTCTTCCCTCTCTTCTGCTTTTCCACTCGTCTTTTGTCAAAGGCAAATTTGTAAACTATGGAAAACTATTACCTGGTAAGAATGAAGAGTTCAGAAAATGGACACCTGTTGGTGGCTGGGTGGCTCAGTGGTTAAGCATCTGACTTTGGCTCAGGTCATGATCTCACGGTTCGTGAGTTTGAGTCCCACATCAGGTGAGCTCAAGCCCCACTTCGGGTGAGCCCCCCTTCTCCCTCTCTCTCTCTGACCCTCGCTCACTTGCACACTCTCTCTCTCAAAAAAAAAAAGGAGGTGGGGAGAACCTGGGTGGCTCAGTTGGTTAAGCATCTGACTTCGGCTCAGGTCATAATCTCACAGTTTGTGGATTTGAGCCCCTCATCAGGCTCTGTACTGACAGCTCGGAGCCTGGAGCCTGCTTTGGATTCTGTCCTCCTTTCTCTGCCCCTTCCCCATTTGCACTGTCTCTGTCTCTCAAAAATGAATAAACATTATAAAAATTAAAAAAAACAAACATGCGTATCTTTGACCCAGGAACACTTCTAAGCCCATTTCCTAAAGAAATCAGTGGTTAACTCTCACAGTGCATGTACGAGGATATTTATAATAGTGACACATTGTAAGCAATCTAGATGCCAATAGATGACAGCAGAGAGCTGTTTATACTTCAACGATGCCTCCATACAATGGAATACAGGTGTTAAAAATAATTGTGTAGATACCTGCAAACACAAAAATATGTCCATGTTATGAAAAAGTAAGACTCTTAAGCAGTATGAATTTTTTTTTTAATAAATTGGTTACTTGTAGCAAAAGCTGGAGGACATACCTTAAAATGTTTAGTGTTCATTCCTGGGGAATATGGCTGTGCGTGTTTTTCATTTTCTCCTGTTACACCTTTACATGATGTCTTACTGTTTTATCATTAGAAAAAACAGTGAAGCTATTTTCAGCTTGAAACAAACAAACAGAAAAAATGTAGATAACGGCAATTGGGGCTTAGGTGACTGAAAGTGAGTACGCGAATCAGGCCCGGCCTCCCCAGACCCCGTGCGTTGGGCCTGTCACCCGACACTCAAGTCGCTATCACGAGCACTTTTCTCTGTTGAAGTGACTGGCTTTTGTCCCGCCAACCCCAGGTTATAATGGGAGAGGAAAATAGGCCTCAGGGCAGTCGGCGGCAGCCCCAACCCGCAGTGGGCCCCGTCGGTGAGTCGGTGGGCTGGGGCTCACCCTGCCTCCGGCCTCTTCATGGGGAACACCATCAGAGCCCTGGTGGCCTTCATCCCTGCTGACTGCTGCCAGAACTACGTGGTCAGAGATCTCCGGGAGATGCCCGTGGACAAGATGGTAGATCTGAGTGGGACCCAGCTACGCCATTTCCCCGGGCACGTGTGCTCCTTCCGGGAGCTGGTCAAGCTCTACCTGAGTGACAACCACCTCAACAGCCTGCCTCCTGAGCTGGGGCAGCTGCAGAATCTGCAGATCCTGGCCCTGGATTTCAACAACTTCAAGGCTCTGCCCCAGGTGGTGTGTACTTTGAAACAGCTCTGCATCCTCTACTTGGGTAACAACAAACTTTGCGACCTCCCCAGTGAGCTGAGCCTGCTTCAGAATCTCCGGACCCTGTGGGTCGAGGCCAACTGCCTCACCCAGCTGCCGGAGGTGGTCTGCGAGCTAAGTCTCCTAAAGACTCTGCATGCCGGCTCCAATTCTCTGCGTCTGCTGCCAGGCCAGCTCCAGCGCCTCCGAGAGCTGCGGACCATCTGGCTCTCGGGCAACCTGCTGACTGACTTCCCCCCCGTGCTGCTGCACATGCCCTTCCTGGAGGTGATCGACGTGGACAGGAACAGCATCCGTTACTTCCCCAGCCTGGCCCACCTGTCGAGTCTGAAGCTGGTCATCTATGACCACAATCCCTGCAGGAACGCACCCAAGGTGGCCAAAGGCGTGCGCCGCGTGGGAAGATGGGCAGAGGAGACGCCAGAGCCTGACCCCAGAAAAGCCAGACGCTACGCCTTGGCCAGGGAGGAAAGTCAGGAGGGAGAGGCACTTGTCCTGCCTCCTCTACTTCTTCCTCCCAACTCCTGAGGAGCTTCAGTCGTAGGTCAACGCCAAGGATCCGACTCCAGCATCTTCTGATCTCTCCTTTAGAGGGTACAGGATTGCTCTGGGACACACGGGATGCTCTGCCAGTGGGGAGTGATGGAAGTCCAAAGAAATGCCTCACTCACATTAAGGGAGAATTTCTGGCCAACATTTCTCCCAAAGTGAAGTTGGGTGCTATGGCCGGCCTCACTCTCTGCAAGCAAATCAGCTCCTCCAAATAGGTATTTTGCAACATTGAAGAGTACGAAGGGCTAGGACATTCTGTCCTTCTCTACTCCACAAGTGGCTGGTCAGGATGCTCACGAACTCCTCAAATAAGGTATTTACTAAAGAATTCACCTGAGAGTTCAGGTGGCCTGGCTCCAGCCCTTTGCAGGATATATTTTACTAGGAATGACCTTAAGTGATATGAAAATAGGGACAAATTCAGGCCACTTACAAAAGACATTTCTACCTAGTCAGTCAGACTCTCAGACTCCGTGCTGTTGCAAAGGCTCAAGATGAAGCTTTTCCCCTGCAGTTGAGTGAATGCTGAGAGGACCTCTGATAGAAAATGCCTCCTGGTGGAGTACGGCTGCCACCTTATACACTTGACAGTGGTTCATGCTGATTTAGCTGGTTTTCCCTAAAGGTCAAGGTTTGACTCCAGGTCTGCTCTCAACCGCTTACTGTCACTATAATACTACAAGTCCTCTAGAAAGTAGAACCTCTTGTTGGCAATGTGGTCTTATTAAAATCAAGCCTAGTTGTAACTTGCCTGCCTCCATGGAGCCCTCCCGTTTATTCACATTTACGAAGAACTGAACTGAATCCCCTTTCGTGGAGGGAAACCACTTTCCAGGATATTAGGTTAAAGGTAGCAGGTGAGAAATCTGTTTACTTGAAACAAGCATTTGGAAATCTGCGTTGAAGGTTGTGGTATATATAAGACACTTCTGCCTCTAGCCTCAGTTTCTTAGCCTTTATTTGGATTTGACTTTTCTAGATAGGGCCTTTTGATGGTCAGTGTACAAGCTTAGACATTTTGGCCATTTTTTTAAAAGTAAATTGTGACCGTTTCTTCTTCCCACAAATACATCAACCTTAAAGATACTGTTGTCTGTGGGTGATTTAATAACACAGTCATGTTCTTGAACCCACAAGGACACAAAAAGTGTCGTAACTAAAACTTACATGCGTTTGGCTTTTAAAGTTACTTTTGCCATAAAAGCATCTTAACTTAGCAAAGTTTGGTTCTAGAATGACGTTACCCAGCAGACTATTTTCATGTTCTCCTACCATAAATATTTCTTGCTAAACCACCTCCCAGTCTGTAGAATATCTGCAACCCACTGATTAGCCTGCTAACAGATCCCTTTAATCTTAAATGTTATAGGTTTTCAAATATTTAACTCCTTTCGTAATGAGTCCAGATTCCCATTACATAGCTAGGATTTATAGTTTATTTTTTCATGCCTAATGACAAACAAAACTATACTGTTGATGCTTAAAACTTTATGCTAACAGAATTGCCTCCGAACTGGGTCCACAGCCAGCCTTACAGATGGCTCAGACTTTTACCTTTGACCCTGTCTTCCTCCTCCAAAGATTAATGTGCCCATCTCTTCCAGTACAACTGTAGGCTAAAGCCATATAACAGCATGAAGCCAACAGATCTAATGAGCTAAGTGGTCTGAATCAAATGTCAAATGGTAAACATTTGGCACACAAATGGTTTTCTTCTAAAATAATACAGAACATTTCCCAAACAATGGTTAAATGTTCAACACTGATTTTGCTATCCAAAAATGTTTTCACTATAGGGTTTCAGTCAATCTTATAAAAAAATAACCATGTAAATGTATATTAACATTCCCATACCTCTCTGATGTTTTCTTGAAATTCTGACATAATTACAAAGTTAAAAAGGGGAAATGAAGCACCAAATGTAACTTTACTCCTAATTTTAAAAGCCCTGAAACACAAAATGTTATGCACCAGAGAAATTCATACAGAATTTTATTTAGCTTCTCTAAATACAAATGATGCCCACTAAAATCTTTTATCTGAAATGCAACATCGCTAACAGTTCATAATTTTACACTTAAAAAGTGGGCTTGCACCCTAAAAATCAACTATATGCAAATTTTAACTAGAAGCACATATCCTACACACAGTAATACAGCAGTGTAGTATGATGGTAAAGAGCATGGCCTTTCTAACTACGTGAGTTCAAATCCCAGCTTTGCCATTTCCTAGTCACTTACCATCTGTGTCTCAGGTTGCTCATCAGTAAAATGGCAAATTTCCATCTTTGAAGGCACTGTAAGGATTACCAAATTACTGTGTAAAAGGCACATAGAATAGTGCCTGGCAGGTGACAGCTAATGTTTACGTAACATGTTCTTTTTATGAAGTGTTACACCATGCAGCATGGTATTTCTACTTACAAGCAGTCTAATTCTTTGGTTGAAGGGAAAAACATGATGCTAAATAGAACAAAAAGGCCTTTTCTGGCTCGGTAAAATTTCCAGCAACAGTATCTATAGTCTTGAATATAAGAAAAAGAACAACAATGTGGTGAAATGCTTCTGGCTTATCTAACTGGGAAAATACACCAACATGATTACCAAGGATTTATTCAATTTCTAAATGAATATACTTTGCCCTTTTCCTGTTCTTCTAGAATGTGCAAAATCATCAAGGTACATACTTGGAAAATGTGACTATTTCTTGACACAAAACCCATGTATCCTGAGAGGCAGGAGGCATGGGAACCGAAGACACGGGCATGTGTCTGCTGGACATTACTCTCTGCTTTTTGTCACTGAATATATACGCCCTATAATCTCATTACTGTAGAAAGAGTATTAATGCTATTTATAAAACAAATTTACATGCTTTTCTTCCTTTCTAGAGGATCCACTTCTGCAGAATAGGAAACAAATTTTGAATCCTCAGTGCCTAGTATAATTCTTCCACGTTTACCTGGATTTTGGAGATTTTATCATATGCCAGCCCACAGGGTAGGGGGACAAACATTTATGGAGCACATCTGTAGGGCAGTCAGGTACTATCTTCAGAGTCTTGTGTAAGTTAATTCATATACTCTTTTCAATAAACCTTTGAAAGAAGTGTTAGGTGTTGCTCAACTTAAAAATAAGAAAGGGGCGCCTGGGTGGCGCAGTCGGTTAAGTGTCCGACTTCAGCCAGGTCACGATCTCGCGGTCCGTGAGTTCGAGCCCCGCGTCGGGCTCCGGGCTGATGGCTCGGAGCCTGGAGCCTGTTTCCGATTCTGTGTCTCCCTCTCTCTCTGCCCCTCCCCCGTTCATGCTCTGTCTCTCTCTGTCCCAAAAATAAATAAACGTTGAAAAAAAAAATTTAAAAAAAAAAAAAAAATAAGAAATCTGATGGGGCGCCTGGCTCAGTTGGTTGAGGGGCTGACTTCAGCTCAGGTCATGACCTCCTGGTTCATGAGTTTGAGCCTTGCATCAGGCTAGGCTCTCTGCTGTCAGTGAAGCCCACTTCAGATCCTATGTCCCTTGTTCTCTGTCCCTCCCCCACTCGTGCTCTCTCAAAAATAAATAAAACATTAAAAATAAAATAAAAAAATAAGAAATCTAAAATCTGGTTTGTCCTTATTATTCTGACAACCTGAAACATTCTATAGTAATTCTATGATTAAAAAAAGTTAAGTCCTCTTTACACTTTCACTGATGTTCTAATACACTAGAATAGGTACAAGACAAGGCAGACTTTAAGAAAAGGATTCTGCACAAGAAAATGCATTCATCCCATATGACTTACATGGAGAGACCTTTAGCAAAGAACTACTGCTGGGCAAGATTGGGAGAAGAGGGGATTCAAGATAATACTGAGGCAGCTAGTTGTAGCAACTGCCACCCGTGAGGCTAGATGAACAGGGAAATGTTACCTTCACCTATTAAGAGCTAAAAGGCATAAAAAAGAGGCTACCAGGGATGTTGGGGAAGCCCTGTTGGTTAAGCGTCTGACTCTTCTTGATTTCGGCTCAGGTCATAACCTCCCGGTTTGTGAGATTGAGCCCCACATTGGGCCCTGTCCTGACAGTGCGGAGCCTGCTTGGGATTCTTTCTCCCTCTCTCTGCCCCTCCCATGAGTGTGTACGTACTCTCTCTCAAAATAAACTTTAAAAAATAAAGGGGGGGGGGGAGAAGATCTACCAGTGAGGCTGTAGTGGTAGGTCTCACAGGGATGCAGTCATCTCCAAAGAGCAAGCTACGCAGGAAGAAAATGCCGAATGCCTATCCCCATGTCCTGCCAGTACCTCCTGAGTTAAACCACAGGAAGGTGTGAGACAGTCAGCAAAGGTTAAGTCGGCCCATGGCCTCCCAGCAGGCAAAGAATGGATCCTGGCTTAAGGATAATAAAAGAATTACCAGTATACATATTATCCTTCAAAGAAAAACGGAAAGCTACCTAGATTTTTAAAAATTATTTTTAGTCAACACACGCGTACCTAGAATGGATTTAAAAACCCTACTCAATTTTTTATATAGGTACTATTAACATACATTCCAAACCTCTAATTCCATATCACAAAAATTTTGCAAAAAACTGCTTCCATATTCAGTTTGAGTTAAAAGAAACTCTATCCTAAAACTGTTAGAGAAATTATAGAGGGGCATAGGTTGCTATTTTACCTCTGAAAGTGAAAAGACATTAAAATTTGTAAACTTGAGATAATCTCGGTTTATGAATACATCTGTAAGGGCTTCAAAGGATATGAATTCAAAGAGGTAAAGAGGCACGGGTTATTCTTGGATGTAACAATGAAGCTCCCATGTTTCTACCTCTTTTTAGATTAACATTTATTGTTGTATTCTTTTTAAGACCTTTAGAGAAAACATGCCCAAGTATCCTTAAAGATCAAGATCTTACTCCAGGGTATCTAGTACCTCAAGACAGATATTTAAACCCACTTCCACTGAAACCTGTAGGTTTTCTTGGTCGTGATATGCTCA